ATACTTTCCGTGTATTATCTGGCCCCTGTCTGCCTGACACAAATCCCACTTGATCTGTATGAATTAAAGTAGGTAAAATAAACTTTAATCTTTCCGCATATATTTTTGCATATATTTTAGCATCTATATTCAATAATGAAATTGGTCTAAAATTTTGACAAGCCGTGGGGGGTTTCCCTAATTTCGGAATGGTAATTATTTGTGCCGCTAAAAATTCTATAGGGAATTTCCCTGCCTTAGTGCCTTCATTAAAAAAATGGGTCAATGGGTCGGCCAGGGATTACTTAAACAGGGTATAATACAGGTCGGAAAAGCCATCAGGTCCTGGTGCTTTCCCTTTGGCCAAGGAATGGGGGATTTTTCTTAACATTTAGAACTCATTTTGTCTCACTGCTGTGAGCATAAGGGATAATTTAGTAGGCTAGACTGATTTATTAAGGGGACTGCCTTGAACGAGTACAATGGGAGGAGAGTGTGTAGGTGATAGTTTGGCATTCTAAGTAATTATCCATCATCCTTACCTGCCCCCCCACCCCCTCTATTCTTTTTTGTACCCCTTACAAGTATAGTCGGGTGCACGGGGTGTGCCAGGTGTGCCAGGGCACACCCTAATCACGGGTGGCTCTCTAATTTGGCAGTTAGGGTGTCCGTCTAAGGCCTTGCGCTGTCTGGGTCCTCGTGGCTGTCTAAACCCCCTTAGGGAAAACTGTGTCAGTGACCGAGGACCCAACACAAGGAGGAGGCGGCTTGCTCTGTATGCTGCAGGATGCGAGACCCCTCCAGTCTACCAGGAGGAGAGCTCCAATCGTGGATAACTGTCTGAAGCTCCGCAGTGTGCAGAGCTGCTGCAGACCATGTGTCTCGCGAGATCAGGCCAATCAGAGCGTTGCTCCCACGGTTGAAGTGTAAGACTATTGTATAATTCCTGCTCTCTATCCAACTTGTTACATGTATCTTTTTCTCTAATTGAAGTATCTTGTGATACTGTTTCCTTCATTCTAATACAGTACAAGTTTATACTTTTAGATATATACTGAGACACTGTGTATCGGTTACAAACACAAGGACCAGTATAATCAAGAGCGGACCTGTCCCCCTTCCTCTAATTTATCACTATTTTTGTACACATTTTTCATTCCACTGTCCTTTCTCGCCTTGACTACTGTAATCCGCTTCTCAGTGGTCTTACGTGCTCCCAACTAGCGCCGTTACAGTCCATAATGAATGCGGCGGCGAGGCTCATCTTCCTGTCCGCCCGCACCTCCCATGCCTCACCATTCTGTCAGTCCCTACATTGGCTTCCTATAAAATATAGAGCTCAATTTAAAATTCTGGTTCTTGCTTTCAAATCTCTACATAATGCTGCTTCCACCTATCTATCCTCCCTTATACACAAGTATGTCCCGTCTAGGCCCTTACGATCTGCTGAAGACTTACGTCTATCTTTTGTCCGTACTCCCACCTCTGATGCTCGCCTTCAAGATTTCTCGAGGGCTGCACCGTTCCGGTGGAACTCGCTTCCCTCCTCCGTTAGATGCTCACCCAGTCTCCACTCCTTCAAAAAATCGTTAAAAACACAATTCTTCATAAAAGTGTATCAATTAAACTGTTAATAGCTCCTGACTGATTCCTCTTCTACAACTGTCATTAGTCTAATTCTATCCTTACCTTTTTGTGTCATTTTACCCCACTCCCTCTAGCATGTAAGCTCATTGAGCAGGGCCCTCAACCCCTCTGTTCCTGTGTGTCCTACTTGTCTGGTTACAACTACATGTCTGTTCGTCCACCCATTGTAAAGCGCTGCGGAATTTGATGGCGCTCTATAAATATCATAATGATAATAATAATAATGTTTTTGCACATTTTATTTGTTTATTATTAATTTGTGTGTACTCTCTAACCATTTTTCTAATAAAATTGTATTTTAATATCTTTTACTTAAGAATAATCTTTAATTGGTGGTAATCTTCTTTAAGTCGGAGGTCGCACCTTCACTTTTTTCTCTAATTCATAATATTATACAGGGTCATGCCCTTATTACTCACCTAACCCTACCTAAGCAACAGAATAGGCTTTATAACCGAACTCTAACGCTATTTTCTAGGAATCCAAAACAAGTTTGCCAAGAGAGGAAGAAACATATTTGCCCAGAGAGACAAAAGAAGAAGGACCAGATCTTATCCTTGATACCCCAACAGAGACAGGGGAGAAAGTTGAGGGGAGAAAGTGTTATCAGATAATAGTACACTAAATACATATTATGGTGAGACGAGGTGAGACGGGAATCAGGAAAGGGCAGTATTTCGAAGCCATAGGTTTGAAATGACTGATGGAAGAGGGTATGGTTAACTGTGCCAAAAGCAGCAGAGAGGTCAAAAGAATTAAAATGGAGCAGTGGCATGTGGATTTAGCCATAATTAGGCGATAAGGGCAGTTTTGGTATAATGTAGTGGCAGAAACCAGATTGAAGAAGATCAAAGAGAGAGTTGGAATGGAGAACAAACAAGTCTTGTAAGAAGCTTTGAAGTATAAAGGAGTAGGGATATGGGACAATAGTAAAATAGAGCACTTTAATCAAACAATTGCTTTTTTAGGATTGAACGGACAGTTGCATGTTTACCAGAAAATTGGACACAAAAAGGGAATGAGAAATTGAAGGTGTGTGTTAAGGGTGACACAACTGGAGAAAGAGGGAGAGGAGCAGAAAAGGGTTACATGTTTTACTTTGTTAATCAATCGTCTTAGCGCTGTAGTTCATAAAAGTGTTAGCTGCGAGTTTAATATTAAGAAGGGATGTGACAGATAGCAGTAATCTCAAGGTATTGAAAAGACCACTGGTGGAGCTACTGCCAGTGCACCCGGTGGTCCACACACTTAGGGGGATGCGGATTGGAAGAGCCTCTGAATCCCAACAAGCTCAGCCAGCCAACTGAACCCCAGGAAAGCCACCCTCCTGCACATAAAAGGTAGGAAACAGAAGGGTAGCTTAAAATTTGTGCATATTGCATGTGTGTTTGTCTGTATGCACATCTTTCTGTCTTGCTGTATGTGTGTGTCTGCATGTTTGTGTATCTATCTGTATGTATTCCAATCTGTCTTTGTGTCTGTATGTTTATCTGTTTATCTGTGTGTCAGTGCTTGTATCTCTATGAGTGTCATTGTATGTATCTGCATGTGTGTCATTGTGTATGTCTGTACCTATTTATCTGTAGTGTTGACATTTGAATGAAGGGGTGTATTTGTGTTCAGTGTTGAAGTTACAATGCAGGTATTCACATACACAAACACACACACACACACACACACTGATACAAATACCCAGACTGATACAGGTACAGATACACATACTGACACACATACAGATAAACCAGTACAGGCATAGAGATACACACACTGACACACATACGGATAAATAGGTACAGATATGCAGATACAGAGACAAACACTGACACTGTGTGTCAGTGTGTGTGTGTGTGTATCGCTATGTGTGTCAGTTCATGTGTCTGTGAATCTGTATCTATGTCAGTGATTGTCTGTGTATCTGCATGTCTGTACTGGTTTATCTGTATGAGTGTCATTGTGTGTATCTGCATGTGTGTCAGTGTGTGTCTGTGTTTTTTATGTGTGTCAGTGTTTGTCTCTGTATCTGCATATCTGTACCTATTTATCTGTATGTGTGTCAGTGTGTGTATCTCTATGCCTGTCAGTGTGTGTATCTGTATCTATGTCAGTGATTGTCTGTGTATCTGCATGTCTGTACTGGTTTATCTGTATGTGTGTCAGTATGTGTATCTGTACCTGTGTCAGTCTGGGTATTTGTATCAGTGTGTGTGTGTGTTTGTGTATGTGAATACCTGCATTGTAACTTCAACACTGAACACAACTACACCCCTTCATTCAAATGTCAACACTTCATACAAATGCACCCCAGTACATACAACACAATAAAACAACACAGCACTACACTCACATATACCACTACATTCACACACACACACACACAGTTCAGTGCTAAATACAACTCATCAACGATGGGCAAATGGTAGATGTCCAGCTGGCAAAGCATTGTAAAGCAGATAGGGATCTACTTTTTTACCATCCTTGCAATAGGTGGCCCAAAACAATTCTTGCACCAGGGCTCTCCACTTTTTCCACTGGATAAGATGTTTGGGATTGTGATAGTAGGCGCTAAGACGGGAGGGAAAATACAATTGTTTAGCAATGAAGAGGACTGTGGGTAACAGTGTACTGTGCTGTAAAAGCAGAACATTAGTTGTAGTGTCCAAAGGCTGACATGAAACGAGAATTCCTCTAGCTGTGTTTAGCGGGCCAGTGCATCTTACTAGGTAGTTTCTTTAGTTAGTGTGCCAGGGTTGGAAATGTGGATGCCTTGAGGTCTAGATTATGAGCAAGGCTGGCAGTAGAATCATACAAGGAACTTGGGTGGGACAGGAGAAGTGGAGATGAATTGGAGTGGGGATTGGAGATCAGAAGAGAGTTACTAAAGTTTGAGAGAATTATTGTTTCCTCTAGGTTGAAGATAGATGAAGATTCATTCAGGATAAGGAATCTGCATAGATTTGACAATAGAGCCACAAGTATCACAAGGTGAATGTGTGATCCACTGAAGAGTCCAGAGGTGAAGGCACCAGAAAGATGGATTGAGGTTACAGAGCTAGAATATACATTAAGGTGGGTTACAACCTGCCTCAGTTACTTATCTTCTCATATCACTGACAGAATCATGAATGCTACTCTTCTGCAGTTTCTACCACTCCACTGGGATTCAGATCGATATGTTCCCTTACTTCACTGACACCTGCCAAAAGCCATTGGCATTAAAATTAAATTTCATCCCGGTCCGGTAATAACATATATATTTGGATTGCATTTCCTGTGTAAAGGCTAGCTAAGAACTCTGGGAAATGTAGGCATTACTCATTTAATGATTACCCTATTTTCTTCCATGAAATTCCAAATATGAATCATTTAAAAGGCCAGCATCAATTCATTTCAAATTTCTGTTTAATTTCGTAATAGTTCATAACATTTTATACATTTTTTTGAAACATTAATATTTTTATGCACTTTTTTTCAGGTAGTTTTTTGTCTCTTTTTTATACACAAAATCATTGTGAAATGTATCCACTCAACTCCGAATTGTAGCAAATAGAAAATCAGATTGCAAAATTCAGCCTATGCCGTGTCTAGTAAGATATGGGCTGACATTTCTGAATGAGCAATTTCTGCCTAAATTTTGAAATTCATTTTTCAAGTCACTTCAATATGGCGTTTAGGGAACAGACAATTAAATCTTTAATCAGTTGATGGTGTTATCCTGTCACCATTTTAATTTCATACATAAGAGCAAGCTAAGATCTGGAATTTGCGAGAGGCACAGTCTGATCCATCCTGAATCACTGACTGAAACCTAATCTAACGAGGTATGATGCAGAACTGGTAATTTTGTGGGAGGTTTCCTACCCCACTTATTGATGGAGTGAGGTCGATGAGGTCAGGATGTTGAATGGGCTGGAAATCAAAGCTTTGTAGAATGGTGGTAAAAAAGATAAAAAGCTCCATACGTGCCAAACCCTCTCCCAGGCAGATACGCTTTCCTGCAACAGATACATATAGGTGGTTAATCATTGTAAAAGCTACTGAAGTACTTATGGCAGTGACATGTTTAATGGTCAGTCCCTCCCAGGGTCACAGTGTACTAATGACAGTGACATGTTTAATGGTCGGTCCCTCCCAGGGTCACAGTGTACTAATGACATTGACATGTTTAATGGTCGGTCCCTCCCAGGGTCACAGTGTACTAATGACAGTGACATGTTTAATGGTCAGTCCCTCCCAGGGTCACAGTGTACTAATGGCAGTGACATGTTTAATGGTCGGTCTCTCCCAGGGTCACAGTGTACTAATGACAGTGACATGTTTAATGGTCAGTCCCTCCCAGGGTCACAGTGTACTAATGACAGTGACATGTTTAATGGTCAGTCCCTCCCAGGGTCACAGTGTATTAATGACAGTGACATGTTTAAGGGTTGTTCCCTCCCAGGGTCACAGTGTACTAATGACAGTGACATGTTTAATGGTCAGTCCCTCCCAGGGTCACAGTGTACTAATGACAGTGACATGTTTAATGGTCAGTCCCTCCCAGGGTCACAGTGTATTAATGACAGTGACATGTTTAATGGTCAGCCCCTCCCAGGGTCACAGTGTACTAATGACAGTGACATGTTTAATAGTCGGTCCCTCCCAGGGTCACAGTGTACTAATGACAGTGACATGTTTAATGGTCGGTCCCTCCCAGGGTCACAGTGTACTAATGACATTGACATGTTTAATGGTCGGTCCCTCCCAGGGTCACAGTGTACTAATGACAGTGACATGTTTAATGGTCGGTCCCTCCCAGGGTCACAGTGTACTAATGACAGTGACATGTTTAATGGTCGGTCCCTCCCAGGGTCACAGTGTACTAATGACAGTGACATGTTTAATGGTCGGTCCCTCCCAGGGTCACAGCGTACTAATGACAGTGACATGTTTAATGGTCGGTCCCTCCCAGGGTCACAGTGTACTAATGACAGTGACATGTTTAATGGTCAGTCCCTCCCAGGGTCACAGTGTACTAATGACAGTGACATGTTTAATGGTCTGTCCCTCCCAGGGTCAGAGTGTACTAATGACAGTGACATGTTTAATGGTCGGTCCCTCCCAGGGTCACAGTGTACTAATGACAGTGACATGTTTAATGGTCGGTCCCTCCCAGGGTCACAGTGTACTAATGACAGCGACATGTTTAATGGTCGGTGCCTCCCAGGGTCACAGTGTACTAATGATAGTGACATGTTTAATGGTCAGTCCCTCCCAGGGTCACAGAGTACTAATGGCAGTGACATGTTTAATGGTCAGTCCCTCCCAGGGTCACAGTGTACTAATGACAGTGACATGTTTAATGGTCAGTCCCTCCCAGGGTCACAGTGTACTAATGGCAGTGACATGTATAATGGTCGGTCCCTCCCAGGGTCACAGTGTACTAATGACAGTGACATGTTTAATGGTCGGTCCCTCCCAGGGTTACAGTGTACTAATGACAGTGACATGTTTAAGGGTCAGTCCCTCCCAGGGTCACAGTGTACTAATGACAGTGACATGTTTAATGGTCAGTCCCTCCCAGGGTCACAGCGTACTAATGACAGTGACATGTTTAATGGTCAGTCCCTCCCAGGGTCACAGCGTACTAATGACAGTGACATGTTTAATGGTAAGTCCCTCCCAGGGTCACAGCGTACTAATGACAGTGACATGTTTAATGGTCGGTCCCTCCCAGGGTCACAGCGTACTAATGACAGTGACATGTTTAATGGTCAGTCCCTCCCAGGGTCACAGTTTACTAATGACAGTGACATGTTTAATGGTCGGTCCCTCCCAGGGTCACAGCGTACTAATGACAGTGACATGTTTAATGGTCGGTCCCTCCCAGGGTCACAGTGTACTAATGACAGTGACATGTTTAATGGTCGGTGCCTCCCAGGGTCACAGTGTACTAATGACAGTGATATGTTTAATGGTCAGTCCCTCCCAGGGTCACAGTGCACTAATGACAGTGACATGTTTAATGGCCAGTCCCTCCCAGGGACACAGTGTACTAATGACAGTGACATGTTTAATGGTCAGTCCCTCCCAGGGTCACAGTGTACTAATGACAGTGACATGTTTAATGGTCAGTCCCTCCCAGGGTCACAGTGTACTAATGACAGCGACATGTTTAATGGTCTGTCCCTCCCAGGGTCACAGTGTACTAATGACAGCGACATGTTTAATGGTCAGTCCCTCCCAGGGTCACAGTGTACTAATGACAGTGGCATGTTTAATGGTCAGTCCTTCCCAGGGTCACAGTGTACTAATGATAGTGACATGTTTAATGGTCGGTCCCTCCCAGGGTCACAGTGTACTAATGACAGTGACATGTTTAATGGTCAGTCTCTCCCACGGTCACAGTGTACTAATGACAGTGACATGTTTAAGGGTCAGTCCCTTCTAGGGTCACAGTGTACCAGTGACATGTTTAATGGTCAGTCCCTCCCAGGGTCACAGTGTACTAGTGACAGTGACATGTTTAAGGGTCAGTCCCTCCCAGGGTCACAGTGTACTAGTGACAGTGACATGTTTAAGGGTCAGTCCCTCCCAGGGTCACAGTGTACTAATGACAGTGACATGTTTCATGGTCGGTCTCTCCCAGGGTCACAGTGTACTAATGACAGTGACATGTTTAAGGGTCAGTCCCTCCCAGGGTCACAGTGTACCAATGACAGTGACATGTTTAATGGTCAGTCCCTCCCAGGGTCACAGTGTACTAATGACAGTGACATGTTTAATGGTCAGTCCCTTCCAGGGTCACAGTGTACTAATGACAGTGACATGTTTAATGGTCGGTCCCTCCCAGGGTCACAGAGTACTAATGACAGTGACATGTTTAATGGTCGGCACCTCCCAGGGTCACAGTGTACTAATGACAGCGACATGTTTAATGGTCGGTCCCTCCCAGGGTCACAGTGTACTAATGACAGTGACATGTTTAATGGTCGGTCCCTCCCAGGGTCACAGCGTACTAATGACAGCGACATGTTTAATGGCCGGTCCCTCCCAGGGTCACAGTGTACTAATGACAGTGACATGTTTAATGGCCGGTCCCTCCCAGGGTCACAGCGTACTAATGACAGTGACATGTTTAATGGTCGGTCCCTCCCAGGGTCACAGTGTACTAATGACAGTGACATGTTTAATGGTCGGTGCCTCCCAGGGTCACAGTGTACTAATGACAGTGACATGTTTAATGGTCAGTCCCTCCCAGGGTCACAGCAGGCAATGTTCATGAAAGATATTGCTTGAATGTGTCAGTCCCTCCCAGGGTCACAGTGTACCAATGACAGTGACATGTTTAATGGCTTCCTGGTCCCTCCCAGGGTCGTCAGGTACTAATGACAGTGACATGTTTAATAATGGTCGGTCCCTCCCCAGGGTCACAGCTGCACTAATGACAGTGACATGTTTAATGGTCGGTCCCTCCCAGGGTCAGTTGGTGTATCACCAATGACAGTGATATGTTTAATGGTCGGGTCCCTCCCCAGGGTCACAGTGTACCAATGACAGTGACAGGTATGCCTAATGGTCGGTTCCTCCAAGGGTCACAGCTGCATCACCCACAGTGACATGTTTAATGGTCAGTCCTCCCAGGTCACAGTGCAATGACAGTGACATGTTTAATGGTCGGTCCTCCCAGGGTCACAGCCACTACCGACAAAGTGACATGTTTAATGGCCTTGGTCCCTCCCAGGGTCACAGCGACCAATGACAGTGACATGTTTAATGGTCGGTCCCTCCCAGGGTCACAGCGTACTAATGACAGTGACATGTTTAATGGTCGGTCCCTCCCAGGGTCACGGTGTACTAATGACAGTGACATGTTTAATGGTCAGTCCCTCCCAGAGTCACAGTGTACTAATGACAGTGACATGTTTAATGGTCGGTCCCTCCCAGGGTCACAGTGTACTAATGACAGTGACATGTTTAAGGGTCGGTCCCTCCCAGGGTCACAGTGTACGAATGACTGTGACAGGTTTAATGGTCGGTCCCTCCCAGGGTCACAGTGTACTAATGACAGTGACATGTTTAATGGTTAGTCCCTCCCAGGGTCACAGTGTACTAATGACAGTGACATGTTTAAGGGCCGGTCCCTCCCAGGGTCACAGTGTACTAATGACAGTGACATGTTTAATGGTCGGTCCCTCCCAGGGTCACAGTGTACTAATGACAGTGACATGTTTAATGGTCGGTCCCTCCCAGGGTCACAGTGTACTAATGACAGTGACATGTTTAAGGGTCGGTCCCTCCCAGGGTCACAGTGTACGAATGACTGTGACAGGTTTAATGGTCAGTCCCTCCCAGGGTCACAGTGTACGAATGACTGTGACAGGTTTAATGGTCGGTCCCTCCCAGGGTCACAGTGTACTAGTGACAGTGACATGTTTAATGGTCAGTACTTAATGTCAATGAAATGATTAATGCATGGAGGTCTTACTTTGTGGTGTCTGTGAAGGTTGTCGGCCTGGGTGGAGTTTCCTCAGGTTTCTTCCACCCAGCTGGGATCTTGTTTCTCACGTTCTGACGGGAAAAGAAGGATTTGGGGACAGAGCTGGACAGCTGGAAGGAGCTGGACTGGGACATGTGAGGCATTCTGGAATTTTCAGGGGTTTTAAACATGCCAGACCTATGGAATGGAACCAACAATATAAACCTATTATGGACACAGAGGGTCTGATCTCCCCCATACTGTACAATACAGAGTCTGATCTCCCCCACACTGTACAATACAGAGTCTGATCTCCCCCACACTGTGCAATACAGGGTTTGATCTCCCCCACACTGTGCAATACAGAGTCTGATCTCCCCACACTGTACAATACAGAGTCTGATCTCCCCCATACTGTGCAATACAGGGTCTGATCTCCCCATACTGTGCAATACAGGGTCTGATCTCCCCATACTGTGCAATACAGGGTCTGAGCTCCCCATACTGTGCAATACAGAGTCTGATCTCCCCCTCACTGTACAATACAGAGTCTGATCTCCCCCTCACTGTACAATACAGAGTCTGATCTCCCCCCACTGTACAATACAGGGACTGATCTCCCCCACACTGTACAATACAGAGTCTGATCTCCCCCACACTGTACAATACAGAGTCTGATCTCCCCCATACTGTGCAATACAGAGTCTGATCTCCCCACACTGTGCAATACAGGGTCTGATCTCCCCCACACTGTGCAATACAGGGTCTGATCTCCCCATACTGTACAATACAGAGTCTGATCTCCCCCACATTGTACAATACAGGGTCTGATCACCCCAAACACTGTACAATACAGGGTCTGATCTCCCCCATACTGTACAATACAGGGTCTGATCTCCCCCATACTGTACAATACAGAGTCTGATCTCCCCCATACTGTACAATACAGAGTCTGATCTCCCCCATACTGTAGAATACAGAGTCTGATCTCCCCCATACTGTACAATACAGGGTCTGATCTCCCCCATACTGTACAATACAGGGTCTGATCTCCCCCATACTGTACAATACAGAGTCTGATCTCACCCACACTGTACAATACAGAGTCTGATCTCCCCACACTGTGCAATACAGAGTCTGATCTCCCTCATACTGTACAATACAGAGTCTGATCTCCCCCACACTGTACAATACAGAGTCTGATCTCTCCCATACTGTAGAATACAGAGTCTGATCTCCCCCATACTGTACAATGCAGGGTCTGATCTCCCCCATACTGCACAATACAGGGTCTGATCTCCCCCATACTGTACAATACAGGGTCTGATCTCCCCCATACTGTACAATACAGGGTCTGATCTCCCCCATACTGTACAATACAGAGTCTGATCTCACCCACACTGTACAATACAGAGTCTGATCTCCCCACACTGTGCAATACAGAGTCTGATCTCCCTCATACTGTGCAATACAGGGTCTGATCTCCCCCATACTGTGCAATACAGGGTCTGATCTCCCCCATACTGTACAATACAGGGTCTGATCTCCCCCATACTGTACAATACAGGGTCTGATCTCCCCCATACTGTACAATACAGAGCCTGGTCCCCCCACATTGTACAATACAGGGTCTGATCACCCCCATACTGTACAATACAGGGTCTGATCTCCCACACACTGCACAATACAGAGTCTGATCTCCCCCCACTGTACAATACAGAGTCTGATCTCCCCTCACTTTACAATACAGAGTCTGATCTCCCCCCACTGTACAATACAGGGACTGATCTCCCCCACACTGTACAATACAGAGACTGATCTCCCCAAACACTGTACAATACAGGGTCTGATCTCCCCCACACTGTACAATACAGAGACTGATCTCCCACACACTGCACAATACAGGGTCTGATCTCCCACACACTGCACAATACAGGGTCTGATCTCCCACACACTGCACAATACAGGGTCTGAGCTCCCCATACTGTACAATACAGGGTCTGATCTCCCAAACACTGTACAATACAGGGTCTGATCTCCCCAAACACTGTACAATACAGAGTCTGATCTCCCCCACACTGTACAATACAGGGTCTGATCTCCCCCACACTGTACAATACAGGGTCTGATCTCCCCCACACTGTACAATACAGAGTCTGATCTCCCTCCCACTGTACAATACAGAGACTGATCTCCCCAAACACTGTACAATACATGGTCTGATCTCCCACACACTGTACAATACAGGGTCTGATCTCCCACACATTGTACAATACAGGGTCTGATCTCCCACACACTGCACAATACAGGGTCTGAGCTCCCCATACTGTACAATACATGGTCTGATCTCCCCAAACACTGTACAATACAGAGTCTGATCTCCCCAAACATTGTACAATACAGAGTCTGATCTCCCTCCCATTGTACAATACAGAGTCTGATCTCCCTCCCACTGTACAATACAGGGACTGATCTCCCCAAACACTGTAAAATACAGGGTCTGATCTCCCTCACACTGTACAATACAGAGATTGATCTCCCCAAACATTGTACAATACAGGGACTGATCTCCCCAAACACTGTAAAATACAGGGTCTGATCTCCCCCACACTGTACAATACAGAGATTGATCTCCCCAAACATTGTACAATACAGGGTCTGATCTCCCCCACACTGTACAATACAGAGTCTGATCTCCCCCACACTGTACAATACAGAGACTGATCTCCCACACAATGTACAATACAGGGTCTGATTTTCCACACACTGCACAATACAGGGTCTGATCTCCCACACACTGCACAATACAGGTCTGATCTCCCACACACTGTACAATACAGGGTCTGATCTCCCCATACTGTACAATACAGAGTCTGATCTCCCCAAACACTGTACAATACAGAGTCTGAACTCCCCAAACACTGTACAATACAGAGTCTGATCTCACTCCCACTGTACAATACAGAGTCTGATCTCCCTCCCACTGTACAATACAGGGTCTGATCTCCCTCCCACTGCACAATACAGGGTCTGATCTCCCACACACTGCACAATACAGGGTCTGATCTCCCTCCCACTGCACAATACAGGGTCTGATCTCCCACACGCTGTACAATACTGTGTCTGATCTCCCACATGCTGTACAATACAGGGTCTGATCTCCCACACGCTGTACAATACAGGGTCTGATCTCCCACACGCTGTACAATACAGGGTCTGATCTCCCCATACTGTACAATACAGGGTCTGATCTCCCCCATACTGTACAATACAGAGTCTGATCTCCCCCATACTGTACAATACAGGGTCTGATCTAAAATATGTGAGTGTTCCATTGTCACTCTTACACAAAAATATCTGTAAAAAAGGTCCTATGCTGTTTTTTTGAAGGATATTTGGAGACCCAAAAGACCCATATATAGCACTTAAAAGATATAATGTGTGATTTGTAATATTATTCACTTAATAAGCTCTTCACTATAATTTTGCTTTTGTGTTTTTTACTGTGTGAAATGGAATGGAAAGTAGGACATTTTAGTGAGATAGCAGTTGAGGTTTTTTTTCAAACACATTTGAATTTTTGGGACACTAACCCTAAATTAAGTGCTGGTACTGTATATATGGTTATATGATAACTTCAGATCCACCAGTAATATGTTATTTGGAATACATTTACTGGTTATAGATCATTCCCTTTACCTGGACTGGCTGAACACTTCGCCTCCTGTATTCCCTTGGGTGTACATTTTTGGCCTGTATCCCTTGGCAGACATCACTGGCTCCTTCCTTTTATCCCTTGAGCCACTGTCGTGCATGCCCGGATAGGTTGAACAGGACACAGGTTTTTGAGGCTTTTCACGACGAGGGGTAAGGCGGGTAGATTTGGCATTGGCAAAGTTGGAGAGGGAAGTGTCGATGCCACTGTCATTGGATGTGCCTTTGGAGAGAGGCTCGATATCTACTTCAGGCTGCTCGGTAGGGTCAAACCAACGCTCATCGCTGTGGTTACTGTGGTTACTGGATGCAGTGCTGGATAATGTGTTACTACTGGAGTGGCTGGAATAATGTGCCTCCCCCTGCGCAGAGAGTGAACAAACAAGTGGTTACTGTAAGGGCATACAAGGAAGATTCATTAAATGCAACGTTATTTGTAAAAAAAAATAAATACAGTTAGCTCAAACCATACACTTAAAGGGACACTCCAGACCAAAGCACTTTAGCTTGCTGAAAGCTTTCTGAAGAGAGTGTCCTTTTTTTCATTTGACAAAAAGTGCAGGTTTAAATTGTAATTTGAAAAAAAAAAAAAAAAGCCCCCCCTCCTGTTTCTTCCTGGTTTGTTCGGCTCAGTGGTGATAAACTCAAGAGTTAGCAACTACCCAGAGCTCCTGCCTTACAACTTCTTATTGAGCTGTATTGGGAAGTCTGTGATTGGACAGACAGAGAGAGTCTGGGCGGGGTTAGAAGAGAAGGGCTTGTGAAGGCTGCAGACAAGAGATTTGCAGGGTTTGCAAGCTATATTTATACCGTTATTTAAAAAAAAAAAAAATGCTTCAATAAATGTATTAACGTTTTTATTTGCGGATTATCTACTGAACAATAGTTTTTATTTATTTTGCATTTGGGCAGTAAAGTGTCCCTTTAAGAATGATTGCAGTTTATACTATTATTACATCTTATTGTAGTGATTTTTAATGCAGCCCCTCCTTTTTTTTTTCTCAAAACTGTTTGTGAGTAGTGTGACAAAAACTTCTGGCATCCAAAGACAGGCACTGGGGTTTGACGAACCCAACACTCATAGCCCATCACTGCCATCCAAATTTGGGAAGATGAGTAAATTAAATGTCTACATTATCTCAGGGGCAACACAGATGGTATGAGATTTGTTCTCAATGTCAACCATCGCAGAAAAGGCTTCACAAAACTGGAGGGAGTGAACCCCAAGCTTCCAAGCATGGTAACCATTACAATGAGCTGTAGTGGTTATGGTGCTACAAGTGACCCCCCCAAACTAGTTCATATAACTTAACATAGTCTACATGATCTGCCTGTGTAATTCAAATATATAGGAATGATTACTCTGAATATAAAACACCTCCCGACCCCTGGTACTTACCCTGGAATTTCGGTGGGGAGAGTTTTTTCCTACCAGCTCCTGCCGGTTGGGCCTCTTGTTTACGCTGTTGCCCGTCCGGGACTGAGCTGGGATGTGCCACATCGGCTCTGCAAGAGATAAATTCTATGTTATATACGCACGCAGCAGCAATGGCGACAGTGAATAATTAAAGGTTGTGTGTATTAATTAGAGAGGTTAACAGGAGATGTGGGGGCTGGGTGCCAATGAGCAATTCATATAGAAACACTGAATGCTGTGACGGCAGATAAAGCCTTCTAAGCTCACTCATGTTCTTCAATACCGGTTTCATTTACATTGTTTGCATTCTTTTGGAGTCATGGTTAAAGTGTGGCTGTGGGCACTGGCAGCGTTGGTATACTTCTCCAAGAGGATTTACTATCCATTCATATATCCTAATAATTGCAAATTCATTGATCAGTCAGTTAAATGCATTCATAACAGAAAGAAACACATGCACACCGAGGCGAATTCTGATCATATGAGTTTGCAATCTATAGGACACCCTATTGCATGAAATGTATGGTCCCTTCTCCATTATTTTGCTTTATTTAAGCAGTATTTCATTTGGAACCATCTACTCTGAACCAATTTGCTCATAATACAGAGACTAACGAAGTGTCACTTTACTCACATAATTTTACTATTTTGTCTAAAATCTGAAAATTTCTCACCAATTCCTAACAATTTCCACTTTAGTGAATAAATCTATAGTCTCACAAGCTCCACATACTTGAGTTTTCAAAAATAAAATAAAAAATGTTATAACCAACTAACAAATATATAAAGTAAACACTCAAACACAAACATTTGAAAGCTTAACCAAAATCAAAACAAATATTGAATATAATCACAAAGACTAATGCACAGTAAAGCGGCACTGTCATGGCCGAATTCTGTTTTTTTTATTAACCCCCCTCCCGACTCCACTACATCTAACTGACCCCCCCAGTTACCCCCAAATGCCCCTAAGCCCCCCATATTGCCTATTTTTATTCTTTATTTTCTGCCCTGATCTATATTCAGGGCGCTGCCATCTTTGTGTGGGTAGAGGAAGTCCCTGTGGGACACGTCATCTGCCCACACTAGATAGTACTGAGATTCCCGCACATGCCCAGTGAAACACTTGGGCACGCGAACGGGAATTTCATCTATTCATTCATTCGTCAGTAAGCCGCATGAATGAATAGCATTGTCAGACGAACAAACAAACACTGTGTATCAGTGTTTGTTTAGTTTATTACAAGGAGGGAGCTACAGGCGCGCATCTCCCTCCTTGTAATATGTAAAGATAGAAGCGGCAGAGAGCAGTGCTCCCTGCCACTTCCTAAGCCCCTAAGTCAATATGACCCCCATAATAGCATAAAGGAGATTAAAATCTGCCCAATACCCCAACTCGCTATACCGCGAGTAGGGGCATGTCTTCTAAACAGTGAGCAGCCTGTTTGGTAGACTATGCGCGGCGGGTGGGGGACCTAAATAACAATAAGGGGGCCATAAAGACCACTACGCGGTGGGTGGGGGCCATAAAGATAACACTACGCGGTGGGTGGGGGCCATAAAGATAATGAGGGGGGGGAGGACCTACTGTCCTGTCCCCCCCCGCCCCCCCTGGGGTGGCGGTTGGGGGCCCTAAGACAAATCCCCCTCCCCCCATCAAAGGTGACTAGGGGTCCCCAAGCCCCTAGTCACCCACCCCCTACCTACCTTCCTCACCTTAAAAAATAGTGAGGGGGGAATAAAATAACTAACCTGAAAAGAAAAATTAAACTTTCCATTTGACGTCTTCTTTTTTCTAAAATCTTCATTTTTCAGCCCCAAAAAAGGCCAAATAAAAAACCATCATACCTGTCAAACTTAAAATAAAATAAAAAACCCGAACGCAAGTATTAGTAAATGTGGCTGAAAGACCAATTTAAGTGGCTGCAAGATGCAGCCGCAGCACAAATTGAATCAGAGTTTCATTCATTCAAATTAAATTCCAATACTAATAAAGTGCCGAATTGAGTTCTAAAAGAAACAAACATACTGTTTTCATTCAGTTAGAATGCAATTCAGCAGTTTCGTCTAAAATGACAGGAAGCATCGCGGGAACACAGAGGAAAGGTAAGAAAAATTGCTCTGACCAGCGGAAATGAAGCACACTTTGCTCCTCCGCTGGTCAAGTGGAGGAAACCTCCATAAGGCGGAGGAAACCTCCATAAGGCAAAGAGTCCCTACTTTGTCTTATGATTTTAAAGAAAACTAAAGAAGACAGGAAGAAAAGAAGAACAGATCCTGAGAGAGGGGGAGAAGAGGAAGAGATTGAGGAAAGGTAAGTTCGGCATGACAGTGCCGCTTAAGGATCCAGCCTGAAAAAGCTGAACACAGTTACCCTGAGCTGAATAAGGGCACTGATAAATGATTATAACAATCCCAGGAGCACACGTTAAAGTAAGAATTAATAGGGAATGTCATATGTAAGGCAGGATGGGGGGGGGGTTATAGCCAGACTGCGCTATGCATCATCGTATATAGCACATTACAGAACATCACAACAGATGGAGAACTTCATGTACCCACAGGAAACTTGTGCATGCAAAATGTTATAATAACATTCATGGTCTCAATGACAACTAGTGACAAAGATCACTTGTACACAGGGCATCAGTGATTAACAAGGATAACTAACCAGTCCGGTATAAACAGAAACCTGGAGAAACTAGTTATGGTCAAATTGCAAAAGACTAGGGGCAATATTCACTAGGAATGTACCGAGGAGGGCAGCCAGAACCATGTATGAGAGTGACAGAAAGGCAAGGGGTTAAATAGGGTCAGCCTATTGCGTCACCTAACACACGAGCGAGTATGATGTGAAACGATACTACAGAATGGGCTGCGTCTGAGCTACTCTTGCCATTAGAAGAGTATGAATCTATAACGGCAGGACCCATTATCATTAGACCTGAATCCAAACTAACATGTTGGCATACAGAAGAAGGGGCACAGAAGGATGGTGTGCGATTTGCTTGGTTAGTTTCTATATCTGTGTAAAAACACAATTCACGCTTCCTGTTAGATGTCTATCTCACAATAACATTCTCAATGCATCCCAATATTATAAACTGGCCACTAGGTGGCACTCTATGGCAAAATAAACTCAGGATATTAATATCACCTGTACAAAGTATATGTCAAAATCAAATCCAGCCAGGATCAGATCGAGATCTCAAAGAAATAAAGTGATAACACTGACAGGACGCACAGCTAAATGCTAAATAAAGCAGATCTACCGGAGGACATAGGGATTCATTCATTGGCATGAGCTCATCACAAAGCCAGCAATGCTCATAGATATCCCTGCACAGGATGAAACTTGTGGAGGTTGTTTTCACTCACTCTCTACAGAAGCATGCCTGTAACTACATGTACGCATGTGAGAGACAGCTAGTAACAAATCTCTTGCTTAAACGGCTACAAGGAATCCATGGAAACAGACCAAATGTACACTTGGAAAAATACATACATAAGCAGCATTCATTCCTATTAAACATGTTTGGCCGTTATTTTATTTAAATAGTGTCAGGGTGACTCATCTTTCTAAGGTTCACAGCTCGTCCCACCCAACCCGCTTCCAGGCAATCAGGAATGCAGCCAGTATTATTATTACAGTGGGCTCTGAATCCCTGTGAAACGCAGGTTTAGTATGAAGGGGTTTAACATGTGCTATGTGCAATAGATCCCTGCTGGGAACACAATATAAAGGAGGCATCACACCTGCGCTCACCAGGGGACAGCCACAATCCGCAGTGCATGCTCGATCGTCGGATACTTGAAACTAATAACTGCAGATGTGTGAACGAGTCTTTACATCTGACACCATATGTACCGGAATCATTATTCTGTTTTCTTGAAGGAACATTTAAATATTAAAACTATCCCTTAATTTCCTAAGAAGCCGTTACTTTTATTATTTTTAGACATTGTACAAATAGCACCTGACTCCAGTTTTACACATTTTAAAGAAAAGAAAATATATAATCAGAGGGGGGGAAAGAGCCCACCCACAGCGGCGGAACACAGAAAAACATCAACCCATGGGTCCCACGTCTTATAAAAGAGATGAGAGATTGAGAACAATGGCTGTTAGTTGGTCCATTATGTAACCATAAACGATCTTTGCCTATCCGGCAGCCAGAGCACTGCAGCAGGCAGAAAAAACAACCAGGAGTCTAGATCAAACTGCCCATGAAAAACATCCGCCAGAAGTTCCCCAATTTCCCTCCAATAAGTGGCCACCTGGGGGTATGTACCTCAGTAACCACAATCTCCAACACAAATCCACAGGAGATTTACAGTCCTGAAGTGCTGGACTTGGGATTTTAAACATTTGCTGCTATGAAGCTACTTCCCACATGATCTCCCAGGTTCCTCTCCAATCGGCCTCCCACTGGGTAATACAGCGAGGAGTGCCCCACACAGCAAAGTGGGAACATATATATTAAGAGATGAAAGAAATAAGGTCCATCTCAGGAGCCTGTCTAATCCAAGAGAAAGTAGGCAAAATCCCTAAATTGTATGCATCTAAAATAATCTCTACTGGACAAGGGAGAAAATAAAAAGTAATTAATGAAAAGAAGGTTCAGAGCCCTCTCTACACGTGTGGATGTAGCCAAAAAATGCCACCCCGAGCTCCCAGACGCTTGCCTTGTGTTCTGGGGCTGTCCACCTTACTGTGAGTGAGTGAGTGTAGCTGTCAGTGTGTGTCTGAGTGAGTGAAAGTGTGTGTGTCTTTCAGTCAAAAAAGTGGCCTTGACACGAATTGAGGGGTCAAATTTAGATTTTGAGGGTGCCCGAATTTAGTTGTGCCTAGGGCAGCACAAATCCAAAATACACCACTGGATGTAGCACTGAATCCCTGCCTCCTCCAGATTCCCAAACTCTCTAGGGCGCACACCAGGAGGAAAAGATCTATTTCACAAAACAGAAGAGAGAGAGGAGACATGCAAAGTGGACTGAACCTTGTCCTGAATACTCAGTGAGGAAACGAGATACAGGCAACATGGTCAACGGAAGGCCCATTGGGGTTTATCAAGCATCATGTAAAAAGATGGGAGAT